GGGGTCCTTACGAGGCAGAAATGTAAAGCGCATTGAGACAATGTAATGTTGTGATAATGCGCTATATAAATAAAATTGAATTGAATTGAATATACATACAGAGGAGTCGGAGTCGGGGAGTCGTAGTCGGAAGATTTAGAAACTGAGGAGTCGGAGTCGGAGCATTTATCTACCGACTCCACAGCCCTGCTTCTGTGGCAGATGGAATACATCCGACTCATGTTCAAGATGTTCAATAAACATGTTAAGTGCATATATATTCCCTTTTTTCTTGAGTCTGTTTGCTCAGGCAAAATTAAATGTGATTAATATAGATTACAAATGAATGATATTTAATCGTGATTAATCTAAATTAATCCACAGGAACCCTGTGATTAATCTGATTAAAAATTTTAATCATTTGACAGCACTAATAAATATATACATACATACACACACACACACACACACACACACACACACACACACACACACACACACACACACACAGGTGAGTGCAAGAGCTTGGAAGTCTCTCAGGCTGCCAACTCCAGGATTCAAACCTGTGAACGGCATCATGGGCACAAGTCCTAACCTAATAAGCTACACATCACCAAAAAGGGGGACAAAGAAAAGGGAAGTGGTCAGCTGCACCGTGGCCACCCACCCGGGGAACTGTGTACAGTTCTTTTATCAGAGCATGGCGCTCCACAGTACCTGCCAAGGACTCAGGAGGGGAGTAGAACTGCCCATCAGACACAGGCCGGGGGTACAGCAGGGGGCCTTGCTCATGGGATGTACCCAGTGATGCCAAGAATGCTGGGAAGGGAAGAGATCGATCATAGCTTCTGTCTGACCCTTATAACTATAACTCATTGAAATGATGCAGATGGAGAGAGGAGATCAGCATTCTTAAAAAAGTTAACTGAATTTCCACAGAGGACATAATACACAAAGCAAAAAAGAAGTTCCATCCATTCAACTGCTTATAGGCAGCACTGCTGTGGGACCGGGAGCCTATCCCAGACAGCACAGGCCACAAGGCAGGGGATACCCTAGATGGGATTTGCTTCTACAGAGTACATAAATATAAACTCAAATAAATTAATCACACACTGATCAATTCAAAGGTGCCAATTAGCCTAAGTGCCTTTAATTTGATTGCAGAAGAAACTCCAAGCCACACAGGGAGAACATGCAAACTCCTCCCAAGATGTGAGACAAGAGTGCTATCCACTGAGGCACCATAACAGGCATGTTCTACAACACCCCCCATCTCCAACACCACTCTCACCCCTTTCATCCTCAGCCTCCTGGGTGAGCACTTTGAAATCAAGGAACCATGTCTCCAGCCATGCCACCACAAAGGAGGTGATGGGTAGCACATAGCCAAAGGCATTCTGGGATAGCAGCTGCAGTGGAATATGAGCATATTTTAGGCAACTGAGCACAAAGCAGTGAATAATGCAAAACAAAGTTACTCAATTATTGTAAACGTTATTCAGACAATTTTTAATTCATTGTAAAAAGATACTACCTCAATATAGGATTTCTAAGCACAAATTTAATTGCTTTTTAATTTGGTAATTACAACTAGTTAACTGATGTACAGTAATAACAACCAGTAAAATAGGTCATTCAAATACAAAAGGTTTGCCTCCAGAAAGTCCCTTATTTTGAAGGGTTTGTCTTCAACATAGAGTATAAACTGGGAAGTTACTAACAAAGGGCGCTTTTCCACCGCACAAAGTACGGTACTTTCGCTTTTCCATTGACTTCTGGTCGAGTACCAGTTCCGAAAGTTCCAGTACCGAAAGTGCCAAACCAGCAGGGGTACTTCGGTACTTTGGGGTGGGACTTACAAACATATTTGCTGTCGATTGGTTATGCAAAAAGCCTGCCGCTGAAACACAAAATACACACAGCAAACAGCAAGAAACTAAATAAAAAGCAGTAGAAACAAAAATATTTAAAAAGTAAAATGGAAGGATGGACAAACGAGGAAACACAGGCTTTAATCGCCATATGGTCGGATGAACAGATCCAGCGGGATTTGGATGACACGACTCGAAATATAAAAGTATTTGCCGTAATAGCAAGCCGCTTGGAAGAAATGCGAAACACCGAACAATGCCGCTTGAAAATCAAAAAACGTAAGCTGGACTACAGGAAAGTGAAGGATCATAATAACATGTTTGAATTCAGCGAAAGAAATACCGTGTCACGCTTTGTGATGATGTCAGTCAGGGGCAATCACTGATGCTGTCATTTGGCGCTGGTACCAGTTTTTACGCCAGTGGAAAACCGACACAAAAGAAGTACCATACTTTCGGTACTTCATGGAAGTACCGAAAGTACGGTACCTGGTGTGGTGGAAAAGCGCCGAAATAGTCACAGGCAGCACAAATGTGCATTCAAATCCCACAGGAAGGATGCAGATGAAGGACAAAGTCCAGACCCATAACCATGGAGGGGTGAGAAATGAGGAGGGTGTAAGGAAGACACATCACTTACATCAGAGTTGATAACTTTAGCAATGAGGAAGGCACTGGACACCAGAGTGGTGATCTGGCAATAAGAGAAGGGGGGTAAAAATCAGGCCATGGGAGTGAGTGAGTGATGGCCATCTAGCCAGACCCAGCCATTAGAGTATGAGTGTGACTAACAGCAAGCAAGAGGGTCTTACCGCAATGACCCACCAGTGCCTCAGGCGAACAGCAGCATAGGCAATCTGTAGGCACAGAAAGCGGAACACAGCCAGGAGCTGTTGAAAAAAGAAGGGAAGGAAAAATAAAGTGATGTCTGCATTAAAAAGTGTCACCTTTGCCAGTCTTACTGAAAGCTTGTTGAAGGGCGAGCGCTCACAAAGATGTCAAAAAATGACGTCTCAAACTTGTAGTGGATCACCTCCTGTTCCAGGTTCTGCCAGATAGCCTTTGTGATCTGGGTGGGCAAGGAGAATAAGAAAATATAAAAGTGCTGAGAAAGTGAGAGGGGAGGGGCCTAAGGAGGGAGGTTGCAAGGGAAACCAGGGAGCAGGGGAAATAAAGGACCTTTTGAGGTATTGCAAATCTCCCTTAAGATGGAAGACATTGAACATCCAGTTTAACCAAAAACACAGTCATACCAAATGGTTTGAGTATAGCACCACTTTTTGGTCACACCAATGGCCTAGTTTAGACTTTACATTCTCATCTCTGCATGGTACAGATACCATGAATATGACATTAACCTTACTGTGTAGTCTGTTTTGTGCACACCAATTATTAATATAAATAATTTTCTATGAAGATAATTTAACTAACTGATTTTCAGCCAGAGGGGAAAGAGGGAAGAAAGAAACAAGGCTGAGAGACAAAATTAAAAAAAGACAGTAAACAAACTGACATTGAGCTCAATGATCCAGAGCAAGGAGATGAAGAGCAGGTCAAATGTGACGAAAAGGCAGAAGGTCCGGCGCACATCAGAGATGACACGGCGCTCCCCAGGGGCACAGGGTGGGCAGGGGGACGGAGCAGACTGTGAGGCCTGTGAGTAGGAGGCATTGAGGGAAGCGATGGCTGGGAGACTCTCCCCTAGCTCCCCGTACTCCACCCTGCCTGGCATTGTTAACTAGGAGAAGAAAGGCCATGGGGTGTGTGGGTGAAGGGGAGAGGGAGAAAAAGAGAAAGCATAACTGCATCACTGTTAGCCAATGTAATATCTGGCAGAATATGTGAACTTACGAAGCTCCAAGCTACAGTAGAAACCTCAGATACTTTATTGATCCCCATGGGGAAATTAACTTTACGCTTTCCCAACATGCTTTCTGTAGGTGAGAGCTAGCTGGCCACAAAAGGCAGCCACTTAAATCCACACCCAGGGAGCTGGGGGTTAAGGGTGAAGGACCTGCAGAGGCCGGGGTCAAACCGACAACCTTCCAATCACAGGCACAGAGGCTCAGCCGACTGAGCCACATACAGTGAGCAAAAAGCAAAGAAGCTCGATTATAACCTCTCACTTTATCTAAATATTTCATGCCTTCCTCCATCCTCCCCTATCTCTGTGTGCTGGTCTTGAGGTACTCTGGCATTACATGGACCAAATCACACCCTATCTATGTAGGGACCAAGTAATGCATGCAAACATTCTCCAACTCTTTAAACAATAAGATCTTACATTCACAAATTTCTATAACATTCATACAATGCCACGGCAACATTTTTAGGTTAATTGATTTTTTTTTTAATATAGTTCTGTTCCTTCAAAATTCATTACCAAAAAAATCACCAACTCAACGGCTCACAACTAGCAGTTTCATTACTATTTATTTGATTAATTTTTAACCACCAGACCTGTTAAGATATTCTGTTCAGTTATTTGCAGCACAGAAATCTTGATGAAAGGGAAAAAAAATAAGTCTGGGGCACTGATTTTCATTTTTATCCTTGGAAAAAATGCCATATGTATTCTGGAAGACCACACTTGCATTACTTGAATCACTTGCATTACTTTTATGAACTACAAAGTGTTTATCTATGGAGTGTAATTTTCTTTGGTTATTAAAGCCAAGGACTTCCTTGTTCATAAACTAGCAAACTAATGACGAGACAAATAAATAGGCTATGTTCTCGTTCGGAGCTCATCGTTTACATGGCACAGCTTATCAGTTTTATATGGGTTAAATGCAGCTTTTGTGAAGTGAAACATTGTTAACTGAAACAGTGATAAACGTCTTCTAAATGTGCAAACGCAATGTAATATTTCTGTTGCACAATTAGATTGACGGAACTACGTCTTTTCCCCCATTCGAATCGAAGTAAAGAACGGTGCGCGCTCCCGACAGGGGTGCATTTCACGGCAGGGTCGCAGAATTCGGCACAACACCGGCATTTTAGAAAAGTGCCGACTATGGATTCCACCCAGTTCCTTCAGTATTTCATGGTTAACTCGACAGTTTTAATTAACTCTCTGACCTTTAAATAAATCTTAATGCTTTAATTTTTAAAAGTCACACTAAATTGTTATTTTAAATCATGCCTGTACGTGTACACATCACTTAGTGAGAATCGAAATCTGCACTGCATTCGCTAGTCCAACTACTAACATATTATCCAAACAGTTTAAGGAAATCGCAGCATAACAAAGTTACTACAAATATTACCTCCCCTTCCAAATATTACTCTCCGTATTGCAAATACATGCGCACAACATAACTATTTTCTTTAAGAAAACGCTCCCCTTACCCTGTGGGAAACAAAGCTTTTAACTACACTATACACTTTCTTCTGCACCTCCACGTTTCATTCTTACGCTTTTGATTTGAGTTAAAGGCAACCGAAAACGAGTACTTATATAACATCGACAATCAAGTAAACTTCGCTGTTGTAGTTATTTACTCAGCTCCAGTATAACCATGAACCTAAGTGGGTAGAAGAAATCAGATTCGCTCCTACTAGTCCTAGTGCTCCAACTTGCAGTTCTGTTTCTAGTTACAGTAACGCCGCCAATGGCTGCCAGGGAATCAACAACGTCGAGATTTTTACAGTCCAGCTACCTCCTCGATTCAATTGTCAATTAGTCAGCGATAACCTGAATCGAGGGGGAAAAAAGTACCATCTGTGTTCATGTATAATTTAAAATGAATCAACGATTTAAGGCTACTTGACTTTAAGTATTCAAACAAGCTCTCATACATAAGCATAAGCCTTGGAATTATGGGTGTGAATATACTTTGGAAAAAAGGCTACTAGCCAGTACAAAAGCGAAAGGTATATTTTTATTCAATATTACATGACCAACGAATTAGGGTGCAGAAACTTACCTTGTTCACCACATTACTTCTGCATCGTTTTCCGGGACCAAAACAGGAAATATGTAATCGTTACTTCCGCTGGCAGATGGCGTTTAAAATAAAGCCGCCTTAAGAAAAAGAACAGCGACACTCGGGACTTAATGCTACACTACGCATAATGGGGAAACATGACACAGGACAGTGTGAATTCTGTGGGGACAGTGAAACAGTGGAACATGTAATGATTCATTGTAGGAGGTACCATACCGAAAGGACGGAATTAATACGGAGTCTTGAACGGGAAAAAGTGCAGTACTCACTTGTGGATTTATTACGGAAAAGCTCTGCCGATGTGTGGTTTAAGTTTATTTTTCAGTATTTAAGGGTAACTGGGTTGGATAAAAGAATTTAAGAGTTTTTTTTTTTAGTTTGAGTTTGACTGTCTGATTCACACTCCCTACCGGTTGGTGGCGGTAATGCACCACAGAGTTGTTTGCCAGCCGCCATAAAACAGCAAGCAGAAGAAGAAGAAGAAGAAAAAGAACAGTGACCTTAGCTTATTTTCGAGTTGCACATCGTCCTGTATAGTGGTACCAATAATTTTGCAAATGTTTAGGGGGGATCGGGCAAAGTCTTAAGGGTATCAGATGAAGTTTATATCCTGCTTCGGAAACTGTATTTTTATTGTGCTGGAGGCGTGTATTAGTGATGGCCGATTCGCGAACGAATCGTTTTTTTTAACTCGGTTTTTTTAGTGAACGGGTTGAACCGATTCGTAAGTCTGAACGAATCGATTTTTAAAATTATTTAAAACGTTTTTAAAACTGATCTTTGGCTATTCAACACCCAAAAGCATCCCCCGCGATTTCGGATTTTTCATGTTCCGTCTGCGCTTGTCTTATCACTTTTAGGTTTAGTCTTATGTTCATCACTTACATTCGTCACTTTTGCGTTCGTAGACTTCCGTCTGGTGCCGAGAACACCCGAACGGCCGAGTACCTGCAGTGGGTTGCACCAGCTAAGCGTAAGTTCGATCTTAGCCTACGATGGACGTAAATTGGCCCTACGTTCGAGTTTACGCACTACTAAAAAATAATCCGTTGCACCATGCTCTTAGTTTCAACGTAGTACTAAGTTATATAGTAAATTTTACACTACCTTAACATTAGGTGTAAAGTCCATCGTAAGAAAGACGTTAAAAAGTGGTGAAAATGGCTATCCGTTTTGAACGGTGGGAAGACGAAATTAAACGCGGTTTACGTCGAGAAAGAGTCATTCGTGACCGATTACATCCCTTTGAAGAATTTGATGATGTTGATCTGTATACTCGGTTTCGTTTTCGCCGTGCCGAATTACAAAAAATTACCGATCTGTTAGCTGCTGATCTACAGCATGGTACTGACAGAAACGGAGCCCTCAGTCCGGCTTTACAAGTATGTCTGGCACTTAGGTACTTTGCCACCGGCTCTTTTCAAAGTCTTGTGGGCGACTCGATGCATGTACACAAGTCCACCGTGTGCAGAGCCGTGAGAGCAGTGGCAGTGTCACTGAATAAACACATAAACACGTACGTGCACTTTCCTCTGCTGCCTGTGCAACAAAACACAACCCGTCAGAAGTTTTTTCAGATCGCCGGTTTTCCAGATGTGTTAGGATGTGTGGATGGCACGCACTTCAAGATAAAAACACCCAGCGACCACGAAATTGACTA